TCCCGCCGCTCGCGTCCTCCGTGGCGAGAAAAGCCGCTTCGCGTCTTCCTGGTCTGCTGGGGGGAAGTGCCCCCCGCACCTCCAGAGGCAGCGACAGTGGGGGAGGCACCCCACACTAGCGGGGCCCCCCAGTTCGTAACTAGGGGTCTGACTTAAGTCGGACCCACATAACCCGGGGACTGCCTGTACAGCATAGAGGTGAAGCTTGAGGACCATGTGAATGCCCTGCAGATTTCTGGCAGTGAGACTCCTCTGACAAATGCCGTGGATGTTGCCACTGCCCTGGAGTGCGCCCTAGGTAGAGTCTGAAGGGGCTTTTTGAGGATCAAGTGACACGTGGTGATGCAAGAGACTATGATGTTGTACAGACGCTGGGAAGACAATGGATTGCCCTTGGAGTGGTCTGCTATAGATACTATTAGGCGGTCGATCTTGCGCCAGGTCCATGTTCTGTCTATATAAAATGCTATAGCATGACATACATAGAGGGTATGGAGTAGCGAGTCTCAAATAGAGGCATGTGGCTTCGGGTAAATGACGGGTAAAATGAAGGATTCGTTGACATGAAACTGTGTCGTGACTGGATGGATACGCAACGTGACTGAGTCCTTGTTGAAAACCATAAAGGGTGGCATTGCCATTAATGCCACCAGTTCGCTAATCCTACAGGCAGATGCAATTGCCAATAAGAATACCACTTTCATGTTGAGCATAGATAATGATGTGGTGGCTAGTGGCTCGAAGGGTGGGTACATTAACGTGTTGAGGACCAAATCCAAGCTCGAAGCGGGGGGCACGGGTCTTTGTTGCTATTCCCTTGAGCAGTCTCTTAGTCATGGGATGAGCAAAGATGGAATGACCTTCGATGGCGGCATGGAAGGCGGTGATTGCTGATAGGTGAACTCTCAGAGTAGAGATCGAAAGACCTGCTTGGTGTACGGAAAGGATATAATTAAGAATTTTATGCATTGTGCCGAGTGTGGTTCGATGTCACTTTTCTCACACCAAGCCACGAATCTTCTCTATTTTGCCAGGTAAGTCCTTCTTGTAGTTTGTCTTCTACTGTTCAACAGTACTGTCGTCACTGCTTCTGAACAAAGTTCCTCTTCTAGTCCGAACCAGCAAGGAGAGACACTGTCAGGTGGAGGGTCTTTGGTCTGGGATGTAGCAGGGACCCTAGGTTTTGAGAGAGAACGTCTGGGAGAAGTGGCACAGGACGTGGTGGTACCAGGGACATCCTGTGAAGGAATGGATACCATGGTTGTCTTGCATAGACTGGGAATCTTTTCCAGAGTGGAGGACCTCATCCGTCTTTTCTGCGAACAACTTGTTTTTGTCAAAGGGAAGGTCTTCCACTTTTATGTGAAGCTCCTTTGGAACTGCTGCGGAAGTAAGCCAAGATGAGCACCTCAAGGCTATTGCAGTTGTGGTGGTGTGGGCTGCTGTGTCCACCACATCCAGCAAGATCTGCAAACTTGCTCTTGCTGCCGTAAACCTCTCCTGCACTAGGGACTTTAAGAGGGGGAGCTTGCTTTCTGATAGGTATTAAAGAAGCTGCAATATCTTTTCATAATTGTCGAAGTTGTGGTTCGATAGCAAGGCGGCATAATCAGAGTTGCCGAGGAGTATACTTTCCTGCCGAATATGTCTAGCTTTTTGACATCTGGTGTTGTCGTATACTGCGGTGTTTTGGCCTGCTGTTGTGCTGCATCTACCACCAGTGAATTTGGTTGTGGGTGATTAAAGAGGAATTCTAGATTCTTGGAAGGGACAAAATATTTCTTGTCTGCTCTCCTGCAGGTTGGTGGCACTGAAGCTGGTGTCTGCCAGATGATGACTGCTGCTTCCATAATGGCTTCATCAATAGGGATGGCAACTTTCGTGCTCTGCTTTGGGTACAAATTTTTCAGCAGTAGATGCTGTTTCGTTTGTGCTTCTGTTAGCTGGATTTCCTGGGACTGGGCCACACATCTGAAGAGTTCCTGGAACTGTTTGAAGTCATCTAGCAGAGACGTGTTGTCAGCCGACGGTCAGGGCAGTGCGTGTGTGTATGTTTCCGAGAAAAGGTTTAACGTCCGTGCCTTTACTGCTAGGACCGGGGTCCCATCGCAGAGGGTGGCCAGCAGGCCAACAGACGCCCCGTTATATAGGAAGAGCTTATTACATCTTAGATTTCAGCTGCTAGAATTTCATAATTCCTTCGCAGCGGGCAGCCTTGAGGAAAGACTGAAAGATGCCCCAGTGGGTCCTGTCACCTGGGAGTGACACAGATCCAAACGCCCAAGCTCTTCCTATAACTGTCCCTTTAGACCGGCTGAAGTTCTTTTAAATTGTGCTTGGTTCTGTTACAGCAACTGAAGGAGGCAGGTTAAAGCTTAAACAGTTACAGGTTTATTAAAGAAGCTTATAAATCATATGGTTACAATGGCTATTGCTCTATTTCTTAACTATTAGCAAAATATAGGTCTTAAAAATGGTTACAAAGAAGATAAAGATAGAAAAATAGAAATAATGGTACCAAGTAACAGCTTACTCTTTCTATGTGTACACTTAAGACAGAGGACCACATCCAGGTACCATTTTTACCCCCTTCTGTGCCTCTCGACTCCAGCATGTCAGGCCAGGGCCGGTCCCTCAATTCCTAGGAAAGACGAAAATACGAGGTGGGCGTCCCCATAGAACCTCGGGAGGTCAAACACCTAACCCGACCAGCAGGTAGAGGGTAGAATGACACTCAAAGTGAGTGTGTGCTGGGCCCATCTTTTATAATCATGAGGTCACGTATTTCTCTTTCTTATCTTAATTGCCAATTGATGCTGGTCTGTCTGCTGTGAGACCAGTTCTTACAAGGGAGTTGTGAACTTAATTTACACTTGTAAGAGAGATTTGAGATGATTAAATTTTGAAGTACAGGACATTGTTTTCTCAGTGGAAAATTCCTCTCAGGGACTGTGTGTGTGTTCGAATCAACATAGGGGCCAGCCGCAGCCTCGAGGCCAGCTTATTGACATTAGCTGCTCTCTCTCCACGTATCTGTGTTTCAGCTTCTCAGGATCAGATGAGCCAGCATAGACTATGCTGATATTATTGCTCCTTCTCTGTCCTGTATGCTTCAGAGAGGCAAATAAGATGGATAATATGGAGGCAGGCTGTCTGGCCACATTCCACCCCCTGATACGACACACCACATCCCAGGAATGCAAGATGGTGGTGTCTGCCGGGAAAATCGCCTCATCCAGCAAAGAGGATGAACGGTCAGGAATTGGATTTTCAGTCTGCTGGTCCTCCGCTTCTGACAACTGTCCGTCTTTCAAGTCCGACTGCTGTATTGTGACGCCCGGGCTGCGTGCTGGAGAAGTGTGAGGTGACGACTATGGTGCTGCTGTGACAGAGTGCCCTACTATCAATGGGCTGTCGTGTGAGGGTTGTTGGTGCACACGGTGATGGGAGTGTGAACGCGACAAATACGGAGAACCACAGCGATGATCATAATATAGATCCGATGGGTGAGGCGACAAACACCTGGATGACCTACAACTGGTATGTCGCCTCTTGTAGCTGGCA